TCCCTTGCTCGAAAGCCAGTCAAATCCGACTCTAGGGTTGCGGTGCTCATCTCCGTTTCAAAGCCGAAGAGCCAGCGCTGTCCGAAGACGTTTCTGTGGTCATGTGGCCAGCATGACTAAACACCAAGGCGCACGGAACGGAACTAACCCCCGATTAAAAAAAACAACAGAATTTTAGTAGTGTCCCCCTTCAAGTGCTGAGGTTCTGTGCCAATAGGGCACAAAGAAATTTAAAATTATATCTTTTCTTAGTAACTCCTTGACAAAGGGGACTCTTTGATAAGTAGGGTTGCCAAGTCGAATCTCCTTACCGGCGGGGGAGCGTCACCAGGCTCCGGGAGCTCTCCTCCGACGCACGCGCGCGCCACCAGCACGTCCCGGAAGTGACACGCGACGTTGATCATGTTGGGGGCGTGGCCCCGATCGTCGGAGGGAAAACCATAGAGTTTTCCCTCTGACGATCGGGGCCACGCCCCCAACGTGATCGACGTGGTTGCGTCACCTCTGGTGACGCAGCCACGCTGCGCTTTGGGGGGCGGAGTTCCCCCCGGGGCCCAATTCTGCGGCGGCGGAAATTGGGCCTTCAAAGCGGGGGTTTACCTGCCACCCGCCCCCACTTGGCAGCCCTATTGATAAGTGAGTGGATATTAAAGGGAATAATAATTGGTGGTTTGTGGAGGAGGGGTTGGAGCCACTTACTAGAGAGAGAGAAAAAATAACCTGGTGGTAGCAAAAGAAACTTAGTTTTCCTAAATGACACGCTGATCCCATCCCAGAAGAAATAGGTGGATATTAGAAATTATAATATTAAAAGTAATAATAATTGATAGTTTGTTTGTGGGAGGGGGGGTTGAAGCCACATACAGAGAGAGAGAAAAAATTAACGTGGTGGTAACAAAGGAAGCTTAGTTTTTTTCCTAAATGACATGCTGATTCCCATCCCAGAAGAAGCAGATGGATGTTAGAAATTATAATATTAAAAGTAATAATAATTGGTGGTTTGTTGTGGGGGGGGGGTTGGAGCAAAAAAAAGAAGAAGTTGGGAGGAGTGTTGTAAAGGACGCAGAGGGTACCCTCCATGTTGTGATCAGCTTGATTGGAGCAGAGGGGGAGGTGCTTGGGGGCAGGAAATTAGCATCAGTCGTGAGGGGAAGAGTCAGTGACATGCGCCTTTCCTGTCAGAGAAAAGGGTGCTCATGTGCATGCGTGAGGGGAGATGGGAAATGGTTGTGGCGGTGCTGTTTTCCCATTCAGAGCAAAGGTGCACTTCTTTTCTCCTTCACTGGAGAAGGGGTGGGGAGCTGCCTTCAGTAGCTTGGAGGGTGACCAACCTTCCGCCCACCCCTGTATTCTGATACTGCTAATGGTTTTGTTTCCGTGCGGGCCCCTTGTTTTTAAGTTGAGTGGTACTATTTGTTGGCTGCCCACTGCCTCGAGCTGATTTTGAGAACACGAGAAAGGAAACGTTTAAAATAAAAACGGTGACTAAAATATCCCCAACTGATTAAGTGTACATTTTTTTTCAAAAATGCAGCTAGAATTAGCTTTGTGGTTAGTTACTTGCCCTGGCCAAGTAATGATTACTCTTGTGTGATTATTCTGCGTTGCTGCCTTCCCTTGCCTTTTAATCCTGTAGCGAATGTTTTCGGGTGGCTTTATTGTGATTATGGCTCTTATTATCTAGGACCATATGTTTACCTTTAAGCTGTTTGAAGAGCTTTTTTTGGTACCATTTGTTAACTGCCTTGGATCTTTTCTTGGAACATGTTAATCCCCACTTTTGCCACAAATAAGCTTTCCGAAAGCCATCATTCAGGCTTCATAAGTGGGCTGGCCTACTAAATCTCTTCTTCTTATATATGTATATATATATATATAGAAGTCCCGTGTATTGGCACTTTCCGGCTCTCCCACTGGCTGTGCTGTGTGCTCCATCAGCCATTGGCCCATCAACCACCACTCAAGAGTACTCGTGTGCCATTGACTGGGGGCTGGGTCTGTAGGGTCGCCAGGTCCATCTTAATCCACAGCGGGGGAATTTGGGGGGCATTCCCGGAGGGTGCAGGGCATCCCTAGTGTGATGACATCACGTTGGGAATGTCCAAGCTCCAAGCCCCACCCACGTGGGGATGGTCCTGCTGGCTGCGAGCTGCGGGGCGTGGGGGGACCTTTCCTGCTGGCTTCCTGCACTTAAAGGGGGTCCCTTTAAGTGCATACAATCTGAGGGCCTCCCCCCCCCATCTCTGAGCGGCATTGCTGCTTGGAGATTGGGCGCGCGGGGCTCTTTCCCACTGGCTTCCTGCATTTAAAGGGGGTCCCCTTTAAGTCCCCCTGGCCTGCAGTGGGTTGAACCCCCCTAAAAAAGCTGGTAACCCCTGCCAAACTGGGGGGGGGGTCTGGCAAGCCTATGGGTCCGCTCCTCTCCCCCGCTTACTGCCATTCCCTGTCTGAATAAACTGCCAAAACTGCTCTGTGGCTCACTTTCCCCTCAGGGGCTGTTGCTAGGAAACCAAGCTTGGTTCTGTCAGTAAAAAGGCAGGAGCAGGAGGCCCTTTCCTGGCCTACTTTGGCCTTTGTGGGGAACTCATTGGGGCCAGTCCTGACTAGAGTTGCCAGCTCCAGATTGGGAAACTCCTGGAGATTTTGTGGTGGAGTCTACAGAAGCCAGAGTTTAGGGAGGAGAGAGGCCTCAGCTGAATAGGATGCCATAGAGTCCACCCTCCAAAGCAGTTATTTTCTCCAGGGTTCTTGCTGTGGAAGCTGAGTGGGTGATTTCAGACCAATTCCATAGAGCCCACCCTCCAAAGCAGTTATTTTCTCCAGGGAGGGAGAGATCTGTTCAGTTATGATA